TAATTTTGTCCCTAACATGTACTTGTCTTTTAAGTTCATCCAGAAACTGGAAAGATGATTTGTTTTTGCTTCAATGGTAAGCTATTGGTCTGATTAGCATTGACTAGGCTAATTGGAAAAGTGGAATTCAGCTAATTCAAATTTCACTTTTTAATTTCTAAGTGTACGCATCCATCCATCCATCCAACCAGCCAACATTTATTGAGTAACTGCTATTTGCCTGGCACTGTTTCAGGTTCTAGGGATTTACAAGTAAAGAAAACATCAATCATAGAGTAAATCTCTATGATTAATTAGTTAAAAATTTACATGAGAAAGGTTTTATATATAGGTATTCATGCATTTATATGTTTTCTGTTTGACGATATATGATTATATACTGTTCCTTGATGCTGGCCACAAGCCTGAATAGTTCTTCTTTATCAGTTATAATTATTGTCTTACTTGATACTTCACATAAACACCCACTGAAGGCAAAATATTAACCTACACTGAGATGGCATATAAATCTTTTCCTAGGTATTTCCCACTACTGTGCTTTTGCACATTGCTGTTTCTTCTTCCTCTAGCTTTCTTCACTTGTCCACCCAGCAAACGCCTATTCATCATTCAAAACTCTGTCAGACGTCATCTTCTATGAGGCCTTCCCCGAGCTCTTCTCAATAGAATTGACCCCCCTTTCCTCTGTACTATTTCTGGACTTTGTACATATTTGTATTTGCATTGTTATAAATATTCGCTAACATATCACTCATTATTTCTATACTGTAAGCTTCTTAAGAATAGAAACACTTGTTTCTGCATCCCAAGTAATTATCAGAATGCATGGCACATACGGGTATTCACTAAATATTTGCTGAACTGAACTGAGAAGCCATTCCCTCTACTATAACTTGTGGAATGCTACAGAAATATGTTTACATTTTACTTTAAATCACATAATGATTAAAAATAAACACAGTATTTTTGACTATTTAATAAGCAGTGGATTTCAACATTTTATTTTCTTTTCTGATGAGAGAAATTATCATCCCTAAAAAGCCTAATAAAATTATATAGTTAGAAACACACTTTAAAAAAAATTCTGTTGTGCCCTTGCCCAGCTCTCCTGACTTAGTGCCAACATCATGGTTATTACAGACTCATCCTATTCATACTGTGTTACAATTACTTGTTTATATATCCAAAGCCCCTCCTGGATGTAAACTCCTCAAGAGCCTGGCCCTTGTCATTTCCACCTTTGTAGTCCTAGTGGACAGCAATGACTGTGAAAGGAAGGAGCTTAACAAGTGTTTGCTGAATGAATAAATAGAAGAATAAATAGGAAACAGTGAATAGAATAAAATCCTAGGTCCTTCTCTTTCTATTAGGACCATTCTGTGATTATCTTAAGTGCAGGAAATCTGCTAAATTCTAAATAAAGCTTTGACTTTGTTGTTGAGTAGGTTAACTTAGACTGTGTGAGTGTGGCAAACCAGGAAAATGAGTGAGAAGGAAAAACACCTTATTGTGCAAACCTTTTGATTTTATTTTGTCTTTTAAGTTTACACTGAAAGAAGTCTTTTCTAGTTTTGAAACACAGAATAGTGGATTGGGCAAGAGAAAAAAATAACTGGGTTTTTTATTATGAAAAGAAATGGGTTTGTTACCTGACCAAGGAGGTGAAAGACTTACATGCTGAGAACTATAAAACATTAATAAGGGAAACCGAAGATTACTCCAAGAAATGGAAAGATATCCCATGCTCTTGGATTGGAAGGATTAATATTGTTAAAATGGCCATACTATCCAAAGCAATCTACAGATTTATTACAATCCCTATCAAATTACCCATGACATTTTTCACAGAGCTAGAACAAATAACCCTAAAATTCATATGGAACCATAAAAGACCCAGAATTGCCAAAGCAATCCTGAAGCAAAAGAAGAAAGCAGGAGGCCTAACCCTCCCAGGCTTCAGACAATACTACAAAGCTACAGTAATCAAAACAGCGTGGTACTGGCACAAAAATAGACATATGAATCAATGCAACAGAATAGAGAATAAAGAAATAAACCCACACACCTGTAGTCAATTAATCTTCAACAAAGGGGGCAAGAATATACAACGGGAAAAAGACAGTCTCTTCAGCAAGTGGTGCTGGGAAAGTTGGACAGCCACATGTAAACCAATGAAGTTAGAACACACCCTCTCACCATGCACAAAAATAAACTCAAAATGGGCTTAACGACTTAAATATAAGACACGACACCATAAAATTCCTAGAAGAGATCACAGGCAAAACATCCTCTGACATAATTTGTTAGGTCAGTCTCCCAAGGCAATAGAAATAAAAACAAAAATAAACAAATGGGACCTAATTAAACTTACAAGCTTTTGCACAGCAAAGGAAACCACAAACAAAACAAAGACAACCTACAGAATGGGAGAAAATATTTGCAACCAAAGTGACTGACAAGTGTTTAATTTCATACAACTCATACAACTCAACAACAAAAAAACAGACAATCTAATCAAAAAATGAGCAGAAAACCTAAAGACACATTTCTCCAAAGAAGACATACAGATAGCCAAAGAGGCACATGAAAAGATACTCAACATTGCTAATTATTAGGGAAATGCAAATCAAAACCACAATGAGGTACCACCTCACACAGGTCAGAATGGCCATCATTAAAAACTCTACAAATAACAAATGCTGGAGAGGGTTTGGAGAAAAGGAAACCCTCCTACACTGTTGGTGGGAATGTAAGTTGGTGCAACCACTGTGGAAAACAGTATGGAGGTTCCTCAGAAAACTAAAAACAGAATCACCATATGATCCAGCAATCCCACTCCTGGGCATATATCCAGACAAAACTATAATTCAAAAAGATACATGCACCCCTCTGTTGACAGCAGCACTATTCACAATAGCCAAGACATGGAAACAACCTAAGTGTCCATCGACAGATGAATGGATAAAGAAGATGTGATATATATATATATATATACACACACACACACACACACACACACACACACACACACACAATGGAATACTACTCAGTTACAAAAAGGAACGAAATAATGCCATTTCCAGCAACATGGATGCAACTAGAGATCATCATACTAAGTGAAGTAAGTCAAAAAGAGAGAGACACATACCATATGATATCACTTATATGTGTAATCTAAAATATGACACAAATGAACCTATCTATGAAACAGAATCACGGACCTAGAGAACAGACTGGTGGTTGCCAAGGGGGCAGGGGGTTGGAGGAGGGATGCAATGGGAGGTTGGGGTTAGCAGATGTAAGCTTTTATGTATAGAATGGAAAAGCAGCAAGGTCCTACTGTATAACACAGAGAACTATATTCAGTATCCTATGGTAAACCATAATGGAAAAGAATATAAAAAAAGAATATACATATATATATATGTATAATGGAATCACTTTGCTGTACAGCAGAAATTAACACAGCATTATAAATCAACTATACTTCAATAAAAAAATATTGATACAAGAAAAGAAGAAATGGGTTTGTTAAATATTTCACTATAGTTCAAAAGCATTGGGGATCCTTTTCCCTCTACTAAGTTGGTATTAAATCCACAATTTCCTTGTATTCTAATTGTAGGTGATAGGATGATTTTTAATTGAGTCATTTGATGTTTTTTTGTGATTTCTGGCAACATGAAAGTGTGGCTGCTTAGTAAAATCTCAGCAGATGAACAGCAGAGTTAGATACTCTCTAACTTGCAGAAAATTATGTACACATAATTTTAAGTTTTGAAACTTTACTCAACTTTCAAGGAAATGTAACATCTATTAAATATATTATTACTCACTAGTGACTGGCAGTGACAAATATACTCATTAGGTGACCTTGAAAAGATGTTATTTCTATAGGAACCATTTAATAAACAGTCATTTTTAAAATGAAAAATGTCAGATGAAGACCTCAATTTTATGTTGTTTCTTCATACACAAACCACTTTAAAAACCACGGAATAACAATTTGTAAATATATGGAGCATACAAATGGCATAATTTTTCCTCAAAAGTAATTCTCTAATTTCTGTATCTTCTAGGACCCATTGACTTTAGTAAGTTAACATCATAAATTATATCAATGTTGGGAAAAGTGTGAAATGGTGATATATAGTTATTACACTTTGTAATTTTCTAAGGCATTTCAAAAACAGTACTCCAAAATTCTTAAATTAGTATCTGATTATTATTTAAATAAGATCAAATTTGATTTCTTCTTTATTTTCCAGACAAGGAAAATGGTATAAATTATGGGACTAATTCCAAGTCATGGACCAGGTAGGAGAATTTAAAATCAGACTACAAAATCAGACTTAGTTCATTACTTTTTTCTCTGTCTCTGTGCACCTTTCATATTTTATATTTTCTTGCCCTTAACAATTTGCCTCTGCATGTCCATGTTAAATGAATTTTGATTATAATTTGATAGATATCCAAGTAACTGCATATGAAAATTCATTCATAAGGACTAGAGAAAAAAACCTTATATATTAAAACATTGTATGGGGATATAGAAAGATGAATACCATTAACATTTTTTCTACGAGATGAGCGTGCATATTTAAATATAACTAACCTGGGCAATTCAGTATGAGAATACTATAAGATTAATACAGATTTAAAAAATATCAATAGCTGAACATAAGCAAGAAAAGTATGAAATTTAATCACATCCCTGAGAAGGGACTCCAGAAATAAATTAGAAAAGTGTCAATCTCAAGGGTGCACTGAATCCAGCAAATAGAAGGGGCAGTCAGAAAAATGAGACAAAAATGGTATTTAAAGTTGTTTCCAGAAATACTTCAATTTGATTATTATTAAATTTAGGGGAGACATAATCTGTGGTTGTCCTAAAGTGAAGTGACCTTTGACCTTCAAATTAAAAACACAGAAAGAAGCTCCTCATATTTGCCTTAGGAAAAAGGTTGCAAAACAATTTTCTAAAGTATTATGGGACTTACCTGTTTCCATTTTTCCATCCTGAGCTGCAGGCCCATCGGGAATCACGCTTTTCACCTGCAGAAACTCATCAGGCTCATCTCCACCAATGATGGTAAATCCAAACCCCATGTTGCTCTTTTTTAGTGTGGTGCTGAGAAATGTTCCCTTCAACTGGGATGCATCCCGGGTAAAGAGTGGTTTTTCTACATTGGCCGACAGAAGTTAAAAAAGAAAAAGCACAGTTAAGGCATGTTCTTACATGGGGAAAAGCCAGCCACTGAGCAGCAATCCCAGGGGTAACTGTGGGGTTAATTATAGTAAATGCAAGCAGGTGTGACTTCAGGAGCACACCTCTAAGCACTTCCCACAAACGCAGAGCAGTCCCAAGCATGCAGGGAAAGGTGAAAGAGCTGCTTGGTTTGGAGAGAGATTTTTTTGTCATCATTGTTTCCGTTCACTAAATTCACCTTCTTGTGCTTAAAAAGGGCTGAATCAACAGGTGAAGATAAAGCAGAGCCTAAAATCATCCAGACACATCTGGACACATTTCTCTTATTCTGAAAAGGTCCAGGTAGGAGGTATGTGTGAGTGGCCGGTGCTGCCCCAAACCTTGAAGGGATAGGACTAGAAGACTGAAATGTACTATGTTGTTTCCAAAAAAATAGGACCAGTGGAATATTAGCACCTCTTCAAATGTCTAAATTGTTTAGAAAGAATGCCTGGATGTGGGACTGAGTTAGCTTTTGCTTATGAGATGCTATAAAGATAACCAGATAAATCCATTTCTACTCACCTGAGAGCGTTTAGTATACTCTAAAATGTGAGCAAGACGCAAGCCAATATCTCTAGATATAATTATGAATGTAAAGGTAACATATTTTGTCATAATATGTTGACATGTTCAAATCATATACCTAAATAATCTGAACAGAACTTGAACCCACTCATAGAGGTTTAACTAGTAATTTGTTATTTAACATGCTTTTTCAGCTATGATCGGTAGTAAGTATATTACTACATATATTAAATGCTTGAAAAATAATAGTCATGCTAGGAATTAGAATTAACATCTGCTTTAAATGTTACCACTGTCAAGTATTTTATATATTTTTTTAGTTGTTCCATTTTGGGTGATATGATTTGTTATTTAAAACAGCCAAACTGTACACGGTGACTTAGTTAAGTATTCTGTTTGCTGTTGTTCCATTTTAGGTGATGTGTAATGGACAAACTATAAAGTCATGAGTCATTATACTGGAATTTTACTTTGTCTATTTACACATCTCATATATCTTTGTGAAGAAGACAGAGCACTTCTTTAAAATATAAATAAAAAACACACATAATCTTGTCACCTCCGTTTCCTTTATGAAAGTAAAGTTTACAATTTGGAGAGAAGTTCAACGGTGAGACCTTTACATTCATCCTTATCGTGCTGTAGTGATATGGTGTGAAATCAACCGTAGGCATATCTAGACTTCCCGACTACCAGAGCCTCCTTCGTGCTTTCACGTGTGAGTGAGAGCCCACTACGATGTGAAAAGTGCGTGCAGCATCTCATCCCCGTATGTGGCTCCAGGGTGAAGTGAGGTGCAGCAAGCAACCCAGGACATACCGATGCACCCGGGCCTCCAGGTGAGGTGGCGCCCATAGTAAGACAGGTCACTCACGCTGCGCGACCGCTCCCGGGCGGCGCGGGGGCAGGCGGGTTTGGGCCTAGGTACTGTCGATGAGTAGCTGTCTACTGTCACAAAGGAGAACAAGCCTCATTCTTGTGCTTGGTCATTTGAGGACAAACTTATGAGTCTCTATGAATCTCTGCAGTTTACGGTACCACGGTCATACCCTTTCAGCTCTACCTGGCAACGTGCTGTAAATTCCTATAAGGTGCTACCCGAGGCGTTACCTTCACTCGTGAATGCTAAATGCATGAGTTTAGAGACAGAGCAAACACCCAGCTAAAGCTAATTGAGGGGTCTGGGGAAAGCAAATCAATTATATGAAATGGTCCAAGATAAAGGCCTATTTGGAGAGCAGGCAGTTCGATAGACAGTCTTTCTCTCTGAAACACTGCGTGCTGACAGGTACTAACCTCGGAAACCTGGGGCCTGCAGGGGCTTTGTTCCAAGTTCTGTGTGGGGCATGTTATGCTGCTGTAGCTTCCTTTTTGCTTCCAGGACAGGGTTTTCAAACTGTGTTCTTCTATTTATGTGGCTGAAAAATAAAATTTCAAATTAGGATAACAGTGGGGCAAAGTCATTTAAGAGAACATATGAATAGCTCTAGCTGAATACCCCACCAGCACGCAGTCAGGCCTCTGCTAGGGCTGGCCTGTGTATGGTACGCATTTCCCTGACAAGAGCAGAGCTCTCAATGGCTCTATCATATGGTATTGTATTTAAGTTATGCATGATTGAGCCAGAAGAACTAGAACGTGAACTCGCTTTCTGGTCTACCGTGTTAGTTTGAGACGAGTCTGGTGCGTTCAAATAAATGGCCAACAAATGAAATTTATACCAAATTTATACCAAATGGTGCTGAAGAAAAACGTATTTGTAAAGTGTTTCTAAGCTTTGTAAAGTCCCAATATCCAACCACATAAGTATAAGGTCAATTCACTTTACTCTTAGGGCAACTGAAGTCCACACATTTTAGAATCAGACAGACTTGGATTAAAGGACTGTGCGGAAACACTCCTAAGGATATTTAGGAGTTGTGGAATACCTGTAGGATGATTGATACTGAGATCAGTCAAAAGCAGAGTATTTACATTCTCCCTAGTGAGACAATAAACTTCTAGATATCAGACACAGAGCATCTTTAAGCAAGTGTGGAATAGCTAAACCAAGGGCTTAGAGTTTAAGAATTCCTTATAGTATTCTTACAGTGTGATGCATTCTTGTATAAAGTTTAGAATTTCTTGTCCATGGAGAGCGTGGGAACCATAACTCTGCCTAGCAGCAGTGTCAAGTAGCTCTTTCTCTACATATACATGCTCCACTAGAGCAGTGGCATGTACACTGATTTTGGTTCTTTGTACAAACAAAAATAGGATTATTGTATGAGAGCATGAAGAGGAGAGAGGGCTTATAAGAGGAATGAACAATTACTCAGTACTTAACTCTGTGCCAGGTACTATGTACAAATTTCCTCAGTCAAGTCTCATGGCAACAGTCTTGAATTCTAATTATCCCCATTTTAAAGGTGATGAGACTGACACACAAGAGGTCAAATGACTTGCTCTAAATCACGTGCCTAGAAGTGAAAACGCTGGGAATGGACCACATCTGTCTCTAAAATTCATCCTTTACCTACATACCTTCTCTTTTCAATGTATGATTTCACATTGATGAGTGTACACATACTTAATGTGCCCACGCAATCCTCTTATTTTAGGTCTATAAATACACGTAAGAAAAGGAAGGAGGTAAAGGAAACAAAATCTCAACAACCAATTTTCTGTTAGTATAAGTCAGATAATCCTGGTGAGACAGAAAAGCGATTGTCAGAAACACAATAAGACGACTGCAGTATCTAGTTACTTCCTCATGAGGTCGGGGCAGGAGCTGCTGCCACACAGGCTCTGGAGTCACCTAGTCCTGGATTCAAAATCCAGCTCTGCCGCTTGATTTGCTGTGTGACCTTGTACAAGTTATTAAGTCTGAACCTCAGTGTCTGCATCTCTAAGATGGGCACAGTATTGGCTTCCTCCTGGGCGGTTGTGAGGATTCAATGAAATAATGAATAATGGCCCAGGGTTTCAAGCACAGACATGCTCAGTAACTAGCAGCAGCTGTTATCATCATGGCCAACACCATCATCATCTTATCATCACTGACACTGTCCTCATTTTGAGTCCAGAGAGGAGTTTTTACCGGGGGGAGGGTCTTTAAAAGCACCAGAACCTCTCGCTAATATTGCCGCTGGTATAGGTTAGGATGCTATTCAGGAAAGGGGTGCTTATAACGTTCTTTGGTAATGGTACTCACTGGTATGGGGTTCAAAGTAAATGTGTCTTACGTAAGATTATTTTCCATTGGAAGTAAAATCTACTGTACTGCTCTTGTCACCAAGGAGTCACCATGATCTGTGGTGTGTAGTGAACTACAGTATGAGCTTTCAAAGCTTCCTTAACTCCATAAACTCTGACAGCACCACTCTATTTCAGGAGGGGCAGATTCGAAGCCCCTCTTCCCTTTTCTCCATTGTCTCTTACTTAACTCCTTTGAAATCTTCCTATTACCTAAAGAAACATTATTCCTGACTCCGCCCTTACTCAGCTCCATATCTTCTCCTTTGGCTGCCATCACCACATGCACCTTTTGCTTTGGATACACTCGGAGCCACTCAAATCAGCAACACCCTATCAAGCCTCTTCTCTTTTCCCCTGAGACTCAGAGCATTAGTGGTGTAGCAGCTGAAGCAAGACAGCCTGAGTCTGAGGTGGCATCTTAGGCAAATCACTAAATTCTCTGAGCATCAATATCCTCATCTGTAAAATAGGGACATTAATATCTACTTCTTGGAGTTGCTGTGAAGATAAGAGAAATAATGTTTGCAAAGTACGGATATACAGGGAGGACCCCGCACTTGTAAGGTATAGTTGTTCTTTATTTTCAAAGTATAGTTATTCTCCATTACTATTATTTATAAGTGCTGTTGCTGTTATTGTCATTATTATCACACTGTTTTTTCCATCTGTTCCATAACTCCTTCTCCAACCTCACCCAGCAACATTCTCTGCCTGTGTTGTACTCCTCCCCTTGGTTGTCACAAAACCTTGAACAGACCTCTGTCATCACAGTTTATTTATTTTCTTACACCCTGCCTCATAGTCAAGAGAATCTGAGGCCCTTTTAAAGAACAACAAGGAAAAGTAAACAAAACCCAGGGTGAAGTTAGTTGAGTCTAGGTGGAAGATCAATAGACAAAATTAATAATATAGGATCCTATTTGTTTACTAGAGTTATGTTGCAAATTAGCTTTGAGCTTTCAAGCTGCTAATTCAGCAAGAAAGAGAAGCCAGTTATATTCTTCACAGTATTTAAGATAAACGCAAGACAGTTGTTCTGAAGGACATAGTATTCCTGTTACTGACTCTCTTGAGATCATTCTTTCCAGGTCTTGGATAAAGGTGTTTCTGTGATGTAGTATACAACAACTTAAATGATAAAGATATGATAATGAATTTAGTAACCTTATCATACTGTGTTTTAATAACTGATTTTCATGTTTATTTCCTTCTCTAGACTGTGCACACCTGTATACAGGGTCCATGTGTTATTCAACCTTGTATACTAAGCACTGGACATAGTGAGAGATAATATTTTTTTTGTTAAATGATGAATATGTGTTTTAAAACTTTTGTCTGCAAATATATGTTACTAATTTTGAGAAATCAGAAACAGTTCTGAGGTGTACTGAAGTATCAGCTTTCTTCATTTCCTATCTGTTCTGTTTCTGTTTTTCTAGGTCATTGTTCATCACATGCATAACTTTATCCTTAGAAAATACATTACAAGAACTTTCTGGGGTAGATTTACTATACAGTTGGGTTACTCCAACTTGCTACCTGCATATAATTACTTCCTTAGAAAAGTCATAGCCACTTGCTTTATGGAAACCATGTTGACAAGATTCCATTCACCATCAAAGTGAAGTTCTACATTTCACAGAGAATGAAAATACCAATGAACTCATCTGGTATGACTTGTACCCGACAAAGAGTGGAAGCTGGGATGGCTTTAGTGGCCTGAGCTAATTGCTACAGAACATTTGCATTGTAACAAATAAAGTCATTCATTTAGAATTTAAAATGCTCCCAAGCTTTAAAAGAGCTATTACAAAGAAATATGATTGTTGCTGAATAGAGAAGCCTTGTCTTCCTTGTGCTTCCAAGAAGAATAGTTTGAAGTCCTTTTAGCAAGGATTTGGGGGACATACAATGTGTAAAAGGACGTGAATGACAAATGTTGTCCTCTTCCTCATTGTTTAGGCTCTGTGAGAGAATTATTAGCTAGTTCATCCAGCTCTGTACTGAACAGGAGCCTGGGAAGCTACCAAGAGTTCTTATTCTTTAGTTCAATCTAGTTTATTATCATATCATATTTTAGTAATAGAATTTTTAGGTGTTAAGAGCTAAGTGGGTAAGAGACATATTCTGAGGAGGGTAGATCCCAACAACCCCATTTCCTTTTACAAAAAAGAAAGACTACTGATATGAGATCCTTCCATGTGGGAATGGCAAAGGGAACAGGATATTCAAGGATGACATTCCATCACCTTCTCTCTTTGCCAGTACAGTCACTCATTTGTAGCTTAACTCCTACCTCCCCTTTTCATTATGGAATGGAATGGAAACTTAAGATAAGTTCGTATGTGGCAGTACTTTGTAGCTCTGGATGAACCTGAAGAACTTAAAAAGCAAACAAAAACAGAGAGGACTCAGGCCCACCCTAACTCAACTGAGCCACAATCTCCAAATGGGGTACAAGCATTGACATTTTTTAAAAAAAAGCTTCCCAGATAACTCTATAGTGCAGCGAGGGTTGCAATCCCCTAAGTTAGAAGCTGAGAAGGTGTGAGAAGGTAGTTGAATAAGGACTTTCTTGCCTTATTCAACTGGAAGTCTTTTTTTCTGTGTAGGGCCCTGGGGAATACTAGGAAATGCTCTTTTGCTCTAGAAGAGAGGACACGTGCCAACAAAAGGGTGAGACATGCAACAGAGGGAAGGAAATCTTTGCAGCTGATGGACGATATGCTGCCAAAGGTAGTCCCAGCTCAAAGTCCTGTGTGACTGCCACCTCCTTCACCGTGGGGAAGCAATGGAAGAAACGGGGAAAGTCGTACATCCCGAGCCCATCAGTACGCACAGGACAGGTCTGCTGGGTGATGAAGGCCATCATCTGACCCTCACTACCAGCACTCCCTCCATATTCCAGCTTGTTAACTCTCCACCTGGCTTCTCCTGGGTTTTTGGAGAGGGGCACTTTTAGTGCACAGTCACAAATGACACCTTTTGTACCCACTGGTCACTATCACATCGTCTCGGCTTCAGCTGACAGATTAGAAATGGATCTTTGGCTCAATGTGAGAGACGAAGACAGCAACTTTCAAGTGGAGATTGCACCACGAGTAAAATATTTCCAAGATGATCAAGGTGGCTACACTAATTACTCCAATGCATGAGGTAGCCAGTGCTCAATAAATATTTG